TTATATTCAAAAAAAGCATAGAATGGTGGAATATAATTTAGGTTTTTAGCTAACTTGTTCTTTTTTTATATATATATTTCACCTACTTATGTAGAATGATATTTTGTGGAGTTAGGGATATTAATATTAGTTTACTTTTATTTGAATAGTATCCTGGGATTAGGTTTGGGAAGTCCGGGGTGGGGGGTGGGGCTTTTTTTATAGCATTGTGATATACTTGTGATGTTTTTTTTATGATGAAAATAATAAAAATTTATACTTGAAAAAAAAAAAATTCTTCCTCATCCCCAAATTAAAGAATTAATCCTAAATTTATATTAACAGCATAATCTTATCAGCAGCATCCAGTGGCAAGACACTGCATAATGATACACATATAATATATCTTCTTTTACTATTCTAACCAACATAATTATTTCTTCTAATATATATCCAGAATGCCATAGGGAGCTTTCAAAGTTGGAAAAGAGTGAGGAGGGGGAGTGATAAAATGTATATATTTTTATCATTAATAATTTGTCCAATAATTCAGCTTAACTTGATTATTTTACATTATAGTCATAAAACAAGTACACTTCATCATGGCCATATTTCAATTTTTTGACTTATTGTATTCTATTACACTAAATTATTTAAATTATTCTCTTCTCATGCACTAAATTATTCTGAAATAATTTTATGCCATTTGTTTTTTTTTAAATAACTTTGTTTCATTCTGCTGTCTAAAAGAACTGTTTCTTAAAATAGCAAGAACATCTTGATTGCTTTATTGAAGATCTGTCTTTTAACATTGTTGTCAAATAAGACAGAATATAATTTTAAAATCCAAAATAGTTTACTTAGTTTACTAAAATGGGTGTTTATTGGCTGTATCCCTAAAATAATAATCAAAAAACCTGGGCAATTATGCTATTTGCTCCCCAATTGTGCAAACTACACATTGATCATTGCTGTTTTAAAACAGCACAATTCAGAAAGAAGATTTGTTGCTTAGCCAGCCTTCAACAAAACTTCATGGTTGTATCCGTCTATCCACCCTTACTCTATAAAGGTGGCTTTGGAAGGCAGAAATAAATGCTGGTTTCCAAAGAACAAGACTGCACAATCTAAGTAAAAGCATGTACAAGACAAACACTTGAGAGGCTGGGAAAAAATAGAGACAGTCTAAAGCAGGGGTAGAACCTTGGCTCTTTTATGACTCGTGGACTTCAACTCCCAGAATTCCTGAGCCAGCCATGCTGAGGGGAAAGGGAGAGGTTTCCAAGGTGAGCCATGCTGGCTCAGGAATTCTGGGAGTTGAAGTCCACGAGTCATAAAAGAGCCAAGGTTGCCCACCCCTGGTCTAAAGTCTTAATTCATGAACAAAAATTTTTTGGAAGGAAAGTGACAACCAAGCAAAGAACTGTTTTGTTCATGTGGAATGTAAGAAAAGGAGAATTTCTCTAAAGCAGTGCTTCCCAAACCTGAGTAAAATACCCCAAATTGGGTAAAAGTAGTTTTTCTTTGGGTAACAACATGCAAACTCATCACCCAATCACAACAGGAACATTTAAATAAGGACTTTCTGATCAGCAGTTTCAAATAATGAATGAAAAGTTTTGGGAAGCTTTGCTCTAAAGACATTGCTCTGCCCCTGGGAGCTCTTCAAGAACCTTTTGCTCAGTGACAGAAAGTGAATAGCCAGGAGTTCATAGGGGTCAGTATTAACATTGAAAGAAGAAAAAAAAGAGGCTTAAGGTGGGAACTGGTAGAGATTCCAGTGGATAGAAGAAAAGGAAAAAAAAGTGAAGGAAAAAAAGAAGAAAGTTGTTTTAAATGGAAATGAAAGGCCGATAATGGGTGGAGATTTTTCTGACTGATTTGAGTGCCCGAAGTAGGTGGATTGATCTGATACAGATAGTCCTTGAATTACAACCATTCTGTCAAGCCCTCCAGGCTCGACATGGACGGGTGGGGGGGGCAAGGATGGCGTGCGGGGTGGAGAGGAAAGCTGACGGTCAGGACCGACAAGCCTACTTGCTGCTGTGTATGTAAGGCGCTGGGAGGCGGATGCTCCCAGCGCTGACTTTGATAGCAGACTACCAATGTGAACTGCATGCCAGAGGTTCCTGAAGTAAAACCAACTGCCAACTGTGAACTTGACGGCTCCGTGTCTTCTTGCCGGGGTTGTGGTGAGGATCTCTGACACATTCATTTAGTGAACATCTGAAGTTACAACGGCAAGTTATGAGTGAAATAAAATGACTTATGATCAGTTTTCGCTTGATGGTCCCCATCGCATCCCCATGGTCACATGATCAAAATTCGGGCCCTTGGCAACTGGCATGCATTTATGACACTTGCACTGTCCCAGGGTCCTATGATCACCATTTGCAGCCTTCCCACCTGGCTTCTGACAAGCAAAGTCAATGGGAGAAACCAGATTCACTTAATAACGTCATGATTCAGCTGTGATGATTTGCTTAACAACTGTGGCAAAAAAGATTGTAAAATGGGACCCAAATCACTTCACAACTTTCTTGCTTAGCAATGGAAATTTTGAGGTCGATTGTGGTCATAAGGTGAAGACTACCTATATCGCCAAATATTAAATTGTTTTTCCAAATACCAGAAAGGATTTCTATTTATTTGTTGTATAATCCCCTCTACCTTATTCTTGAGCAGTTATGGAATAGAATTCTCCAAGCTGTAGGATGGAAGGAATCAAGATTAAATAGAAGACTTGTTCCAGATGAATAGAATGTAATTAGGATGACTTGGGAGACAGAACTCCTCTCAATAGGACAAAATAAAGCATAGAATGAACTATGCATGCTGAGGTCATCAAGAGATGTGCGAAAGAACTGAGCCCATTGAGATGTCTAAGAATGAGGCTATTGAGATGTCTTCAATGTTCACACCAAGACTTGGGTCACCAGGAAAACAGATTAATATAGATATAGCAGAGGTGCTTGGTCCCTATCAAAGGATTGTGTGATGACGTCAGAGGAGACAAAATGAAGGCGTTCGTTGGAGCCTCTCCAAGCTGCATCACATGCACGGAGAACAGAGTTTCTAAAAAATAACTTTGTAAATATGATCCAAAGGGAACGAGAAAGGGGAATCTTGATTAACCCAAACATGAAAGCAGCTATGAAAGTTGTTCTAGTTTCGAGTAGGATAGTTTATAAACGTCTTCCATAAATAAATAACCACTAAGGAAGGAAAGGATCCTCCGTGGAAAGATTAAATGCCTGTTAACTCCACAGAATAAATGAACTGCCTCCATAACAGCCTCGTGATGATTTAAATTATAGTTCCCAATGCAATCCTGTTGGAATGAACGTTTAGTGTCAAGATGAATATAATGATGAACCATAATTACACTAAAGCTTGATTTAGACTTGTCCACAATTGCACACTGGCGTCAACACATACCTAGGCAGCAAAGGGTTTGATGGGTAAGCATAGGTTGCAATGGTTGCAGATGGGTCGATGCGCATACCTCCCAAATCTCAACTATGTGCTATGTGGAGATATGTATCCTACATGCTTATTGGTGGTTCTGACTTCCTATTGGAAGGTGGGCAGAAGGCAAGGCACATTCAAACAACGTTAACATTGTATAAATGCAACAGCTATGCAACCGTCTTTGAATGATAGATGCATATGTTCCCTGATTTGCAGTGACACAGAAGTCTAACCTAAGCTTAAAAGAAAGCAGATTTTGCCTGTGACAAGGAAAACACAAGGAAGAAGTTGTATCTACAGACATTCAAATTCTCTAAGACACCATTCTGCTACTGAGAATGTGAGGAATTTTTTATTACTTTTTAATGTTCGTTAGCTCTGGCTTAGCGTACTAAAACCCCATGCGCAAGAACATTAATCTAAAAAGTGTTAGATTAATATTCAACCCCTTACTACCTTTTTTAAAAAAACGAAACAAAACATACCTTGTCCTTCTGGAGTTTCACCAAAGGGATTCACTTCCACTTGAGTGGCATCAATTTGTAGGAAAAGATTGTATAACTTCTTTATTTGATCTGCTGCCTGAAGTTGAAAACATAAGGCATAACAACGTAAACAGAAAATCATAGGAAGGGGGTAAAGAAAAAGAAAATAATCCTAACATACCATTAAACCTATTAGTATTTTGTCCATTGGTAAGAGAGGTTAAAATGTTAACATACTTTTATTAAGTGGAAGTGCTTTATATTGTCTTCAGATTGATGGCTGATGCCTTAGCCTCTTCCTCCCTCAAGTAAAAAAAAAAGACTGCTGGTTCAAAACATTGTCAAATATTGCATAAAGACTCCCTCTTCACAGTGCACTA